AGGAATGCTCCTGCAAGGAGACAGACGGCTTCCAAGCAGGACAGCTCGCAGTCCTCTGAAATGTCTGTTAGACTTCAGAGACTGGGGGTATTTCTGACATGTGAGCTGAGCTGGAAGGCTGTTCTCTACCTTTCGGACCATCCACATGGTGGACCAGGGTTCAAGTCCCGGCCCCACTGGTTTGAAAAACATGCTGGGCATGCACGTGTGCTCAAGATCCTGATGAAGTGGAGATCCGGAGGAAAAAGAACTGCAGCAGGACCAGGCCTGTTGGGCGTGCTTTCTCTCTCCCTGTCTCTGTCTCTCTCTCAAACATGTGCATGTGCCCTCTGGTGCAAAGGAAAACAAACAAAATCCCAAGCCTCACCTTGGTATTTGGCAATTCATAGCCTAGCTCTGCTAAAGAGTGTGAGGGAAGGGAATTCTCAAAAATTGCCGGTGGCGACAATCACTTTAGAGAGGATTTTGGCAGTGTCTATTCATGCTTAAAATAGCTACGCCTGCCTTCCTGGTACCTGGCTGGGAAAACCTTGCCCAAGTGTATAGGGAAGTAAGAATCACTCTGCTTGGAAAAACTGGAAATGGCCAAGAGGACACTGGTTAGACATGCCTTGGTGTGGTCACGCGGCATGTAAGAAGAATACCACTAGGCCTGTGAAGACCGATGAAGTTAGCTCTTTGAGACATGCAACTAAATGAAAAAAGCAAGGTTTAAAATATGTTCAGTAAGGGACCAGCAGTTAGTGTAATGGCTATGTCGCCGGACTCCCACATAGTCGACCGCGGTTCGTGTCCCGGACCCGGTGACTTAAAACTCAACGCCGGGCGCGTGTGCGTGTGTGCCCAAGATCCCGAGAGGAGTACGGAGGAGAAGGAATTGTGGCGTGGCCATCCCCCCTGGGGGGTGACTTCTCGCTTTCTGTCTCTCTGTCTCTCTCTGTCTGTCTGGAGAGTGCATGCGCCCTATAGTAAAAACCTCTCAAAAAAAGAAAATGTTCAGTAAGAAATCTACTTGTGGTTACACTGTCAAATATATGCACACAAGTTAAACAAAAAATAGTACATGGTAAGCGTCTTTAACTCGAAAACAGAAATGCCCCAAACATGAGAGCAAAGACATTACCACATGTAGAAAATCTGACCTCAGTGGCAGGTCAACGTCAAAATGCTGCGCTACAAGACTACCGTATGAAACTTTCCTTAGGCTGCTGCACTGTGCAAGGTGTGACACAGCATGCATTTCGTGTTTAGACTTGGGCCCCATCCTCAGGATTTCTCGTTATGTATAAGCAAATATTCAAAATCCAAAACACCCTGAATTTTGAAACCCTCCTGGTTCCAAGCACTCTGGGTAAGATACTCGGCCTGTGTGTGTAGTTATATAAGCATTTAGGAGAGGCAAGTCAAATGGACAACACAGGTTATCTCTTTCAGGGGAAGGGAGGAGTAAGGAAGAGGGTTTGGCCAGAAAGAGCTCAGTCCCCATCTGGGGATGCTGTAGCTTTTCCTGGTAACCATTTGTTCACATATTCTTTGCAGCATTAGAAATGAACTATAACGATGATCATTTTAACTTTGTGTTTGGCCAACGGCCAAGAGAGAAGAGCTTCGCTCATTCCTGGCCCTCTTACCTGCAGGAGGCCTGCAAACTTGACCACTCCCCAGCCAAGCCTGGACACGTCCGGCTCCACCAAACTCATCTGGTAGATGTCGACAGCCAGGAATCGCTGGACCATGCCACCGTCCTTTGTGATCACCGTGCAGGCGATCAGGTCACTGTTGTCTGGGGGAGAGACAGACAGCAGAATGAGGCCCTGTCCACCTGCCCAGCCAGCCGAGACCTTCCAGCTAACCCTCGCTCTGCCGGGCAGAGCCCGAGTACCCCCTCGGACTTGTTTCTTCACCTCTTTGGGCCTCAGATTCCTCACCTGAGAAATGGAGCTAATGCCCGCCTCTGTCCAAGGTCTACTTGTTAGGACTGACATATGCACATAAATGTTAATCTAATGTTTACAGCATCTTTGGTATTCAAATTGTTGCTTAAAAATAATCAAGAGGGCCGGCAGGTGGCGTGGTGGTTAAGGTGCTGGACTCCCCCATGGGCAACCACAGTTCAAGTCCTGGATCTGGCGGCTTGCTTTCTCACTTTCTCTTTCTCTCTCTCACTCAGTCCCTCTCTGGTCAAATTAAAATAAGTAAATAAAGTGAAATAAAATAATTCTTTGAAACAAACAAACAAAGAAAAAAACCAAGAACCCAAGACTCCCAGGAACATTTCAGGGCCTCCTTAGACCAACGGCAGGCTACAGCTGTGATGGTGTGTGCGTACGTTAAGTGAGGGGAAAGCCAGGATCCCCTGCTCGGCTACCAAATCATCACACCCTCCATTCAGAGCACGAAATGGTGCGTGGTCCTGGACCAGGCCCTCGGCCCCTCTGAACCACGGTCTTCCCTCGTACAGACAGGAACAATGTCTCTTATCTTGAGGTATTTTGTGCAGCCAGGGAGAACACACAGGAAAAGCATTTAGTGTGGGGGGGGCCTGTGCACTGGAGGTCCTCGGCAGATGCTAGGCTCCCTCTCATACTTGAAAGATAGCCCTGCACTTCACGACCAACTAGGGCCTGACCTTGACTTTGAAATCACCCGAGAAGCACGGGACCATTAAGTCGAACACAGGGCACTCTGCTCTGAGTGCCCTCCCATGGAATCCTCTGCCACGTACGCTTCGAACAAGATTGAACCAGGAAATAACCGAAACGTCCCCCTGTAGGGGAACAATTTGAGTGTTTTTCTTTTTCCTCTCAGATGGAAAATTACATACCCCGTTCAAAATTATGTTTAACTAAACTGTGAACCGTGGTAACCTGTGAGGAGGGAAGTGAGAATTAAGGGTGGGAGTGTGTGTGTGTGGGGAGGAGTATGAATGGGAGAACTTTCATTTTTGTTCAATATATCGTTCTATTGCTTGAGATTATTTTTAAATGGCAAAGCATCAAGATATATATTTTGAAATACATATAAAAAAGTTGAAAATCATTATTTACAATTATAATGACAGTAAAAAACATTACAAATTTAAATGAAAAAGAAGATAGTAATGACTAAGTTTACTATTTTTATTTTTTGGAAAGATTTATTTTATTCAACTTTTATTTATTATTATTCTTCAATTTGACCAGAGAGAGAGGGAGAGAGAAGGAGAGGGAGAAAGTAAGCTGCCAGGTCCGGGACTCAAACCACGGTTGGCCATGTGGGAGTCCAACACCTCAACCAACATGCCATCTGCTGGTCCCACTATTTTTATTACTATGAGTTTGACATGTTAAAAAGAAAAAAAGGGGACCAGCAGTTAGCATAATGGCTATGTCGCTGAACTCCCATGTGGTTGACCGTGGTTCAAGTCCTGGACCCGATGGCTAAAACTCACGCCGAGCGTGTGTATGTGCGTGCCCAGGATCCTGAGAAGAGAATGGAAGAGAAGGGATTGCGGTGTGGCCATCTCCCTGGGGGGGACGATTTCTCGCTTTCCATCTCTCTGTCTCTGTCTTTCTGGGGGGGGCATGTGCCCTGTAAAAAAAAAAAAAAAAAAAAAAGAAAAAAGAAAAAGGAAAAAGGAAAAAAAAAAGCGTCCCTGCAAAGTGGAATAAGCACAGAGAAATGCGTCAAAATATGAGCAGAAGTTTCTGGTTATAGAAGAATGGTGGGTAGAGTATTTTTTTTCCTTAACAGCTTTATTGAACTATAATTTATATACCATAAAAGTCACCTATTGCAGGGGGCAGTTTGGTTAGTAAAATTCCAGATGTGCATCACTACATGCAGCTGTGGGATACTTCCATCACCCCAAACGCGCGTTTCATGTTGGGCGCATTCTAACCAAACATTGGGCTTCAATTTAGTGCAGGAGAGTGGTAACACACACACAGCAACGACCATGGGCTCGGGTGTTCTCCAAGGGACCCTCCCCGCCTCCCATTTTTACTCTTTATCTGGACCTAAGGACGAGAAGCAAACTTCTCACTCACTCTCCCTCTTCGGGGCACCCTCCGCCCCCACCCACACACATCTCAGTCAGCCCTCTGACAGTGCAATCTGCCAGGCATTCCGCTTTGTGTGGATGGTTTCCGGTCTGTCCCCTCGGCCTCCACAGGCCCCAGATATGGGCCTATTCTCTGCAGCACGTGACTGCCAAAGACTGCCACATAGCCCCACGGTGAACTCAGAACCAGACAGCTCAACTGTCTGGATCTGCGCTTTCTTATTGCCTCTAGAAGGAATCTTTTTCCCTTTTTTTTTTTTTTTGAATCTTTTTTTTCCCCAATAGTCTAGTCTTCTAGTTGAAAAGATTTCTTAAAAAAAGTCTTACACTGGGTCAGCCCCATGGCCTAGTTGGGGCTGGATCCTACATGGTCAACCCTGGTTCGAGTCTAGACCCGGGTAGCTTGAGAAACATTCCAAGCGGGCCATGTATGATTGAGGTGGCTGGATCTCACATGGTTGACTGTGTGGTTTGAATCCCGGATCCAGCAGCTTGACAAACACACCGGGCACATGTGTGTGCATACCCCAAATCCTGAAAGGAGAAAGAAATGGAGATCATTCCCCATGGGCGGTGACTTCTCGCTTTCTTTCCCTCTCTCTAGTGAGCACAAGTGGCCTCAGGCAAAATGTTTTTAAAAAGAAGAAAAACATGCAAAAGAAAAAGAAAACTATGCCAGACGTGTGGTGTATGCAAATCCAAAATTCTGATAGGATAGAGAAATGGAGAAGGGATTACAGTGTGACCACACCCCATTGGGGGTGCTTTTTCCTTCTTTCTCCCCCCCTCTTTCCGGTAAGCACACATATCCTCTGGCAATTAAAAAAAAATTATATCCTTGATTTTTGGTTCCATACTGAATGGATATCTAGTATTCTGTATTACAAAAAACAGAAGTCATCGTGTTCATTATTTTTTTAAAAAAATTTTATTGATTATTTTTAAATTTGCCATAGGGAAATGCACTCACTAGAGAGAGAGGGGGAGGAGGGAGAGGGAAAGAAAGCCGCCAGGCCCATGACTCGAACTGTGGTAGGTCACATGGGAGTCTAGGGTTTTAACCACTGTGCCACCTGCTGGCGCCTATCATATTCATTCTTATAAACATTTTCTTTGTGGTAGGTAGGGTTTATTTTCTTAATAGGTAAGCCAATTTCTCGAGGAGAATTTCCTATTTTAAAAGAATAGAATTGAAGTAGATCTTCTCTTTGCTTCCTTCCTTGTTCCCCCTCCACCTCTCCTCTCCTCCACCCTTCCCTGCTCCAAACAGGGCAACTGCACCTTCTCTGTTCATCCATCCACAGAATAAATTCCGCTGGGGTTTGACCTGGCAAAGCAGACACAATTGCACACTTCGGTGACAGGGGGGCTTGTCAGTGATGGTGGGGTTTGTTGGCAACAGTGGGTTTTGGGGGCAGGCAATCCAATTCTCCGGTAAGACCCAGCTGCCTCAGGGAGTTCAAGGGGAAAAAAAGACTTACCACCTCTGCCACAAAGAACACAAAAAGAAGGCCAAAACCCCAGAACGGAATAGCTTTCAGAGCCGTAACTGAGACATCAAAGCCCTGTGAGAACACGGGGCGAGATTTCGCAAGAAAACCAAGCCGCCACGGTGCCGGTGACAGGAAGGCTCCCAGTGCGGGCGCCTCTCCTCTCAGAGGCCGTGGGGGCAGTTACGGAGAAGCAAGACCGCTTCCACTGACTGCAGCAGACCGCACCTGAGTGAGGTCGAGTGCTGGCTCCGGGGATGCTTGGGGGCCTCTGGGTATCACCTCAGGGTACTCCTGCAGCCCAGCCCTGGGCTGTGCCCCACACTGGCCACGGGTTCTCCCGTCTGGAGCTCTGGGCGTCAGGGGCTGCTCTGGTGGCCAAGGTGTCTTGGGTGCAGGAATGGCGGCTGAGTGGACCCTGACTTTGCCCACACCCTAGGCCTCAGCCTGCAGCCCCCTGTTGTTAGCATGGACTTTGCTTAGAGTCAGAGGACCACACTGGGTGCTGAGGTGCCCTGAGGGACCTGGGCACGTGGGAAGGACTCAGCAGCAGCAGGTCCATCACGGGACGTGGCAGCCTTAGGAATTTCCTCTCTCCCCAGAGTGGCCCTTGGCCAGGAGAGGCCAGAGCAGGTGACAGGTGACAAGAGGCTTCCTGGGCATCCACACACCGCCGCCTTTGGATCTCACTGCAGATCTGAACCCTCGCTCTCCACCGACTTTACTCCAGATACAGTGGGGCTGAGGACTCTATTTTTAAAAACGGCGTGAAATTACCAAAAGACAATACAGGAAAATATCCACGTGACCTAAGAGGCAAAAGTAGAACAGAGGAGTGAATGTGAGGCTTCCCATAAGCCACTCACAGCCGAGGGAGTGGGACAGCCATCACACACGAACGTGCTCACCCTGGTGAGAAGTCAGGAAACAAATCAAACACGATACCATCTTCTACCCGTCCGGCTGCCAAAAATAAAAACGTCTGATAACATCATGCGCTGGTGAGGACGTTGAGAAACTGGCATTCTCAAATGCTGCCAGTCGGAGAACAAATGAGCAGCCTTTTTGAAGGGCAAATTAGCATTATTTATTAAAATTGAAAGTTTCACATCCTATGACCTGACAATTGGTATGTTCCCAAGAAAAACACACGCGTAGGCCAAGAGACATGCACAGAGACGCCGAGAGCAGCTTCTGGGTCTGCAGAACCAGGTGTCCAGCAGCTAGGGAGAGAGCCTGGAGGAAACGTCC